TCATGGACCCACAGAAAGTGCAGCCAACAACGAAATACAGAATACATCAATAACAATGTTTCTTTTCAATATTTTGACTTTATAAGTTATTAAACAAAGCGGCTTGATAAATAGGAATTACTTTAAAGAATTTGCTAGCTCCTTTTTGCCACAACAACAGCCACTGAAATGTATATAATGGCACTCCTTGCACATGTCTACACGGACTCTGCCTGGACATGCATCAAGGTTACTGTCGACGATATCGACTTGAAATTTCGTTTCTTTGCTCTTTAGTTAGAGAAATCATAGTAGGTTTAGTTTTCCGAAAGATAACATACAAAATCTTGTAATGAATGCAAGATACGGTTGAAACAGTGTTTTAGGGTTGCTGGTAAGAAGGGCCGATACCGATACCAAATATACGATACCAGCGATACCGAGGTCAGATCGGAAAATATCGATACTGCACGTGACCTGCCCGCGCTTTGTCTCTCGCCAGCGACGAACATCTGACAAGGAGTCTAAAAGACTCTGGGCTCGAGATTGGGTTTGGTTTTAGCTGCAAAATGCACTTATTCGTGATTTTTGTTTGTTTGTGTTTTTGTTTTTGTTTTTGTTTTTGTTTTTTGGAGGGGGGGGGGCTATTTTCACGCCACAGCTGGACTCTATTTTCTTGAAATTTGATCAGCTATAGCCAGAGTACTCAAAAAACACCTTCCCTCATTGCAAACAAACATTTTTAGCATGCGTCTGACATAGTTGGTGTGGCACAACAATCTCTGTTATTATCCTAACGTTAGTGAATCCAGTTTAAAAACTTTTTTGGTGATGGTCTTTTCTTCGGGATAAGGCCCTGTTGCTAGGAAAATTTCAACAAATGAGTGATGATATTATTAACTTTATTGCTGGTTTATCAAGTGCGGGACGATAACTTTTTCTGCCTCAAACTGATCTCTCTCGGAAGGCACAACAACAGTGGGCGAAAGACTGGCTTGGTAGAGACGACTCGGCAGCGGGAACGGTTTCGCCACGATTTCCTGGTGCACGGCGATCTGCTACAAGTGAGCTTTTAAGGACTTCAAGGATAAGAAAGGGTTTTGTTCCACAGTAGTTTAACAAAAAGTCAGGCCAACAACCGAAATGACCTCTAACGTACTCAACTTCATAATCACTACTGTAATCGTCAAAGCCTCGCAATGTAATTGCTTAAGTATTATCGAGCGCGTGGTTGTATTGTTTTCTAAATTTACAATATTTGAATAAGAACACAAAAGAGCGGAAGAAGTCTCTCTGAAATAGACTGATTTTTACTTTGATATTGTATCTCTTTCTACGACGGAAAGAACTTCAAAATAAAGAAAGCGGATACAATAAACTCCAGGCTATTAAAAATAGGAAACTTAGGAGAGAATTTACAGCTCCGATATTGAAAACATACCTATCTTAATTACAATAGAATAATTGAGAAGTCTCTGCTTATCTATGCAAGGTTAGTGTTAAGTTCGATCGTATGAAAGGAATTGAAATTACGAGTACAAATTCAGCTGCCAACTACCACGGGAACCAATTATTCCAAAAAGACCATTAACACTTATATTTACCCAAAAATTTCATTAGCAATGAACAACATAGGTGTACAG